CTTTGTTGATGTGAACAGGGTATAAGTCTTCTATAACAAGCATTGCAGCAATTTGTCAATTTTGTCATGCACAAATCCTTAGAACACAATCACCTACCTCCAGTGTGTCAACAGGGCAGAGGTCCAGAGAGGCTGACTTGTGACTCTCATCATTACGGCAACTTCGGGAAATGCCAACCTCTGAGACAATACAGAACTTTTGGCCAGCAACAACCTAAAAGATAATACCATATGATAGTCACCCTAATACTTAAAAATGAAACCGAAAAATTCATTAGACAATTAAATAGGATAAAGAAATATCTTTTTCCACCTTGTCGCAAGTGTGGGGTGAAGAAAAAAATTTGAAGACCCCATGAGGTATCAAACCTCAGACCATTAAATTCTGCTTACGTATGCTCTACCCCTGTGCTATGCTGTACTTTATCACTAGTCTGGCCATAAATAAATAAACAAACAAAATAAAAAATTATCTATTTGTGCCAAATTTCATTTTTCAGAGAAAAGTATTTTAAATGTAGTCCCACTTCTTGTAAACCCTTTTAGTCACCAATGCTACTGTGATAAATCCTACTTTAAACCAGTATGCTTTAGCTTCCACACACATATAGGTATTCTTTTTTGAAAATCCTTGACCTCCAATTGCAAAATTTTTTTCATGTCTACAAAAAGGAAAAAATCTTGATATTTTGATGACAAAATTCTTTTTTTCTACATTCCCTCTAGGTATTCTGACACATCTATACTGTGTTTTTGGCATAAAGTTGTATATTCTCTGCACCTTTCATCAGCTCAGTAAAGGACAAAAGAATCGAAAATAGATCAAATCACATGACATACATGGGTGAATGAAACCAAAATAATTTTTACTTGCAACTTGCAGAGAAAAGAACCTGAAATTGCATGTAGTTGTGTAACGCCGTTACGTCTTCACAACTTGTAAATTCAGTTGGTCTCATGACAACACCAAGGAAATAAAATAATTATCAAGCACGTACAACAAAAACTCATCGCAGGAAAAATAGAGCACATCCGTTAGTTGTACACTCATTCCCGTGAAGATTTAGTAAATTGTGTTTGACCCACGATCTATATGTTGTCAAACAACGTTAAGTGAAGTCGATTAATGCTGTTACATACTTAACAGCTGAGTTTCAAACCGGATGTAAATTTCTAACATCGTCAAATTACTAGTCGAACTCAACATCGATCGAACCGCTTTCAAAAGGAATTTGATCAACCAGTAAACAGTAATTTGTTAAGTATGAATAAGGGATGTAAAATTCACAATCAGATAACTTCTACGTATTTGAACTGATCAAAACAAAGCCGCGTTTTTCACCTGGACAGTAGCGTCCTTTACTTTAGTCGACATCAGGCGATACAAGTTGTTCTGCATAGCGTTGAATTCGTTCATGGCAAAATCAAGCGCATCAAGGACGTCTGGGTCATCAGGTTTTCGATCCTGTATTCCTCCTGCCGGTGGTTTCAGCGAGAGGCAGTAAGGAACTAAAATCAACCCGAGAAAAATTGAACTCAACGCCATGTTTTTCTCCTGGTCCAGCTTGTGCCAGGCTGCGTCACATGATTTCGGTTTCGTGATTACGTCATGAGTTTTTCATGAGTTTTGCTAGGCACGCAATTCGTGCATTTTGATTGTGTTGAGTCCCGACTTCATCAACCGTCCTCGCAGCTCTTCAGTTTTGGGAAATGAAGTGTTATTGATGGAAAACAGTTTCTTATTTTCTACCTGAAAACCGACTTTTTTCCAGTCTGCATTCAACATTGCTTTAAATGACCTTCATTCATGCTCTTGAAGTGCAACTTCGTGTATTACCTCTGATTTCAACATCTAACTTATATCTAAAACAATATCATAATATAAATTAAAATAAAAAAAAAACAATTAGCCACTTGGACAAATTTTCTTTGTCTCGTAGTACCAACGGAATCCTTCACTATCTTAGAACAAAATGTGACCAGCGCGGCCATGTAATTAATATCGTACTGAAAACATTTTAGAATGTTCCCATACTAAACCGGGACTAAGAGTTTCGGGTGGCGGGAAGCGGGAAGCGGGAAGCGGGAGGCAGGAAGATTACACCACACGGTTCTCATCCTTTTCGGTACCCGCCCTTTTGGAATAGAAGGAAATAATACTTTTTTTACATTTTCAGCCTCTCAAAATGTCCAGATAAAGTGACGTAATGACGATACAGTTATGGAGTCAGCCAGTTATTTTGAAGACATCTCATTTCCTGATCACGCCCTCATGCATGACTGGACAAAGAATGGTTCACTCAAGTTTCAGTTGGTCTCGGTTGGAGTCCTTAAAAAGTAACTTCTAGAACTATTTAAGAATAGCGTCATCAGTCCGTAAGACCGCAATTTTTGAGGAAACATGTCATTTGATGCATAAGGGAAAGGGAATCCGCATTTTAACTCTCATATGGAATAGTTTCTAAAATCGTGTGCAATCCAGATGTCGTGCATGTAACAGCAGTTTGTTACGAACTACACGTAAAGCCCCGGCCAAACGAGAAATGTTGCGCCTAGCAACAAGACGCAACATTGTTGGGTCACCCAACATTTTCTCGTTTGGCCACCCTGTTGCGAGTTGTTGCGACGTGTTGGCACTTGTTAGATAAAGTTTGACGACGGTCAAACTTTCTTCGCAACAAGAGCCAACATTTCCTTTGTTCGTGTCCACAATGCGTGAAATTTTCTCGTTTGGCCA